TAAGGCCCCTACTGTGACAACCCACAAAGTTTCATATCATAACTCTTATAAGATATGGATTAAACATCTAAAGCCTCTACTGTGGCAACCCATAGCGTTTTATATTGCAGCTCCCATAATACATGAATTTAAAATCTAAGACCCCTACTGTGGCAACCTACAATCCAAAGTTTTAAAACCTGAAGAAGGGGGGTGATTATTATCAGAAATAATGTCACAGTACATTTTTGGAAGGGTTTGAACATGTTATCGCAATTCTCGCAATGGATATATAACTTTTAAATAGGTTTCGAAAGAAATCATTAATTTCACAGCTTGAGATGTAATTTGATGAGTGAACACTGGTTGATTAGCAACGTTAACACTACTGAAGCTTATTTAGTTCAAACTACTAAAACAGTAATTCAGTAAAGATTTCGTCATAAAAATTTGTATGCGTGAAAATATATTAGAACTGATCTAAAGATTAAATATCTAATCCTAATGATGGATATTCTCTTAGTGTGTTAGTTTTTATCACACTTTGGCTTTTTTTTAATGTTTACATAAAACACTTTCTGAAACTAAGAAACCAATAACAAAAAAGTAAAAAACGGTAGTTATGAGTTTTGGAAATTTAGATAAAATATTTTCTCTAAAAATGTTAGATGATATAATTGTTTTTTTAATATAACGCCCTTTTTCTCAATATAATTAATTTCAAAAAAACATCTTCAACATCATATCATTTTCTTTACGAGTTTGCAAGCACTATCTAAGAAAATGAAATTTGTATCTAAGGTTTTAAGTTAATCATTTGCTATTTCTGTTGGCACGCTAGGGACTCAGTCGGCGTCCATTACGTTCATCAGCCGCAACAAAGCTCAATACTTACAGCGTCTAATGTCGCCGCCTGGTCAGGGCTAAGATCACCAACTCTACCGCTCATCTCCCGTTGTTGATGATATTTACGATGAAATAGTGGAATATCTTGGTGAAAAACTTGATTTATACGTAAAAATTTTTCCTTTTGGTTCGGTATTTCTAGTTTTAGCGAACAGTTTTACTTAAGTAAAATGAGAAGCTTTCCGCGGCTGATTCTTTCAAGACATTTCTTTAACGAACTTTCTACATATATTCCCATAGGAAATATTCCAACTATCGCTTGGTCGTTCTACCCACTCTAGCCCCTGCAATATAGCTTCTTCACATGCGCACAATTCACAATTTCTAGCGTAATCATGTATCTTTACATCAACGCTACACACTGTCTCGTTCGGCTGGTGCTGCCACCGTGCGACAAAACATGCATATAATCGCAAAAATTCCACGTAAACTCAAACAGAATAATAAATGGATGACGAAGATATAAATAAAAAATACAGATTTTCAGTTGTTTTTTTCTCCTGACGTCGGGCTACCAGCAGTGTTTAGTTTTCAGTCTGAAATCAAGCTGGCGGCAGTTTTCAATTTGAACAAATAATAAAGCTTGTCTGGAAAATATAATTTTCTTTTCTTTTATGGGTGAAAATATGTGACCTGAATCAACAAGGTGTTAGAAATAAAGACACACAAAGAAAAACACTGACGAAGTTTTTCCTGTTGTCCTACTGTCTTCTCAACACTTAATGTTAGTGATAACGTTTCTCCTGCTGTTCTTCTGTCTTCTCAACACTTAGTGATAGTAACGAGGTTTCTCCTAATGTTCTACTGTCTTCAACACTTAGTGTTGTAATGAGGTTTCTCCTGCTGTTCTACTGTCTTCTCAACACTTAGTGATAGTAATAACATTTTCCTGCTGTTCTACTGTCTTCTCAACACTTAGTGATAGTGACGAGGTTTCTCCTGCTGTTCTACTGTCTTCTCAACACTTAGTGTTAGTGATAACGTTTCTCCTGCTGTTCTACTGTCTTCTCAACACTTAGTGACAGTAACGAGGTTTCTCCTAATGTTCTACTGTGTTCTCAACACTTAGTGTTAGTGATAACGTTTCTCCTGAAGGAAGACAGTAGAACATCAGGAGAAACCTCGTTACTATCACCAAGTGTTGAGAAGACAGTAGAATCAACACTTAGTGATAGTAATAACGTTTCTCCTGCTGTTCTACTGTCTTCTCAACACCTAGTGATAGTAATAACGTTTCTCCTGCTATTCTACTGTCTTCTCAACACTTAGTGATAGTAATAACGTTCCTCCTGCTATTCTACTGTCTTCTCAACACTTAGTTATAGAAGGAAAGATTCTCCTGTTGCTCTATAATTTTCCGAACTCACTATTTTGTCTACAGTGAAATGTCAGGAGACTAGGCACGTCTACATCTCCCCTTTCACTCGTTTTCTACAATGGTCATTTGCCTTAACTCATCAGCAGCACTGAGACGACAGATAGTCGAATTTCTCGTAGTTCGATTTAATTGGATCTTTCTTTCTATGTCTGGCACCGTCAGGTTTCTTCGCTTAACACGTCCGCAATTACGTCTCTTCTTTAGAAATACAGCCCGCTTGTTGAAAGGAGAACTTTTGATAGTATTGATCACTTGCTGACGACATATCCTCCGAACTTGTGCTGACTTCCATTTTGAAGGTCTGATGTAAAGGAAGGTAAACATTGACCTTTAAGACATTTAAGTAACGAAGTTTAAAATGGTTCGAAATATTGTAGTGACTGAAGAAGAGCTTGGAGCTGTCAAAATTCTCAGCTGAGCTTCAACGGAATAAAAACTTTCAGGTGACCATTTAAAAACCTAAATTAATTAAAACACATGATTATTGTTCAACAAGCCTACCTTATGATAGTATTTCTAATCTGTACGTGGTGATTTAAGGAAAACTATAATTAATTATTTTATATATTAAAAACTATATGTTGTCCGAAGCGAACCGTAACAAATAATTAAAAACTACTTATCCTAGACAATTATAAAAATAAGCAAAAAACAGACTTCTTAAAAGGGCAGAGCGATTAGAAAGGAAAACAAAGAAATTTTCTAGAAATGCAGAGTGAACCAGAAAAATCTGCTAAAAGCGCTGGTTATTAAAAATTTATATTTAAAAATGATTATATACATTAGAAACAACTTGTCCTATGGGAACAGTATTTCACCAGAGGCGTATTGAGACTCACAAATTCTATACAGGAGAATTTGAACATGTACAAGATGTTTCAAAAACTGTCACGGGTATTCAGTATACTTTACGTAATTCTCAAGCAGCATATTAAGCCTATCTCTAAATAAAGCTACTGTAAGCATCATCTGTTCTAGATAGTGTTCACTGGTCCTCGAAATATCCCTCTACTCTGATGAAGATGTTATTAAAAATATCAATCTGGTGTTGTTGAAAGGGAGAAAAAAGAAGAGAAATAAAAGCCATTAATTAGCGAGGAAAACAATTCAGGTGTAGAGTATAATAAGGTTCTGGTACACTCTGAACCAAGTTCAAACTTTCCTGAATAAAACGTATGACTATCAAGTAAAACTTAGTTCCTATAAGATAAATATTTTTTAAGATATAATAATGTTAAATATGAGGTTTCATGTCACCCTCTTGTATAATCAAACATAAATGAAGATATTCATTAATTGCTTGTATATGAAACTACTTATACGCTATCTATTTAATAATGATAAAAAACGACGTGCACTTAACACTTCGCATGCATTTACCAATAGTCCAACTCACACATCATTCACTTTTACATGCCCCCCCCAGTGGCACAGCGGTATGTCCGCTGACTTACAAC